GGGATAGGTAGGGGTAGGGGGACCCGCCACCTACCCGAGAAGGACGTCGCCGGCAGCGGGCAGCCGGCGGGCAGACGACTGCCCGCCGGGCACCCGCTGCCCGGAGACTTGTCGCCGGCGGGTGGTCCGCCACCCACCAGCTACCCGCTGGAATGTGCCTAACTTGGGACTTTGGCTTCCCCGTTTGATGTTTCCCCGACCCTCGTGGTGTCCCAACGGACCCCGTTTATCGTGCCTAAAGTCTAGTTTGATGTTTCGGGTACCATTCGTAGGATAAACGAGTCTTATATGTGTATATATGTCGCATGCTAGTGGAATTGGTATCCCGTTGGCCTAGGTGAAAGAAGTATGAACCCCTTAGGATTATTCCTAGTATGTGAGTGACCACGCATAGGTTTCATTATACGTTTTCTCCCCTTTCCCGATATGTTAATGTGGGTTGCATGTGCTTGCTATGTGTTATGTGTGCATGATACCCCAATTTGGTTGCGATCAAATTGGTTATTCCTGAGCTGCGGTTCAGAAGCTGGCTGCGGTCAGAATTACACTCGTGGGCTGCGGTCCACCATTTGGTTGCAATCAAACGTACTACATATTCCTGGCTGCGGTCAGATGATCACTTTTGGGCTGCGGTCCACCGTTTGGTTGCGATCAAACGTTTTACATGAGCTGCGGTTCATATTCCTGGCTGCGGTCAGATGATTACTCTTGGGCTGTGGTCCACTGTTTGGTTGCGATCAAACATTCTGATGAGCTGCGGTTCATCGGTCGGTTGCGATCGACCCCTTCGTATTGCGATACGAGGCAGGGTGCTGCGGGGCCGTGTCAGAGCTATATGCGCTGACCCTCATGTATGGGCATGCGATTGGTCCTTTGGCGCCACCAAAGTATGCTTGTGTGATGAGATACGAATCGAATGATAACGTGAATAAGATGAAGTGAATTTGTGACCATAGGATATATGCTAGTATCTCTATATGCTTGGTTATAACTGTTGAATGTGCTTATCCCTATCTGTCGAGTCTATTCCTGGTTTTAAAACTAGTGTCTCTTAAGTATATATCTTCCTGCTTCAAAATGGTTTTCGTATATCTATATATATCTATCTATAATGTATTTCAACGCGTTGGAGTGGGTTACCAGCATCTCTCGCTGAACAGATATATTTGGCTTTCAGGCACAGATGAGTAGACACTGGAGCGCGCTAGAGATTCGGAGCGTAGAGTAGATAGTTTCCCTTTCGGCCTGCGTGCCATGCTTATGTATTGACATTATCGAGGATATTAGTAAATAGCCTGTGCGCCTGAGTTCTCTAGCTCAGGTGTGGCATAGCACCCCGTACTCTTATGTTATGTTTTAGGATTTAAATAAGAATTTACCTTTATTATATTAGTGTTAAAAGTTTTAAAATTTCGGGGTGTTACAGTTGTTATAGATGACAATCCATAAGAATTAGATGAAACATCGGTAACTTATCCAGAGACAGATCTCCCTATTGATGAGTCGTTAAAAACAGCTGAGGAAACAAAACTGTCTGACACTCATGATGCGTCAGAAGAAGATAAAGAAAGTCCTGAATAGGAGAATCCTCTCTCGGATGGTGACGGTAAGAACAAGCCCACCAGAACTCAGAAAAACCATCCATCAGACAACATAATTGGTAATCCAACTGATGGAATGAAAACCAGGAGTCGGATGAGAAGCAATCTGATAGAAATATCCAGATCTGCCTGCTACACCTCAAAGATAGAACCAAAAAAATGTGAAGGAAGCCTTGCAAGATGATATATGGATTAAGGCTATGCAAGAGGAGCTACATCAGTTTGACCGAAATCATGTGTGGGATCTGGTACCTAGACCTGAGCGAGTTAACATAATTGGGACAGAGTGGATCTTCAAAAATAAAACTGATGAAGCTGAAAATATTGCAAGAAACAAAGCTCGGTTGGTTGCTCAAGGATATACCCAAATTGAGGGTATTGACTATGATGAAACATTTGCTCCTGTTGCAAGACTGGAGTCAATCAGAATTTTATTGGCAGTTGCATGTATTATGGGTTTCACACTGTTTCAGATGGATGTTAAGACAGCATTTCTGAATGGGTATCTGCATGAAGATATCTATGTAGCACAACCTAAAGGTTTTGAAGACCCAGTTCATCTGACGCATGTCTACAAGCTTAAAAAAAGCTCTCTATGGGCATAAACAAGCTCTAAGGGCATGGTACGAACGTCTGACACAGTATCTGCTACATCATGGGTATAGTCGAGGGAGTGCTGACAAGACCTTGTTTGTTAAAACCACTGGGAGTCATGTTACTATAGCTCAGATTTACGTAGATGATATTGTCTTCGGATCTACTCTACAGAAATATACCGATGACTTAGTGAAGGTTATGAAGGAAGAATTTGAAATGTCCATGGTAGGTCAACTAACTTATTTCTTAGGACTTCAAGTTAAACAGAGTATTGAAGGCTACTTTATCAAAAGAAAAGTATGCCAAGAATTTGGTCAAAAAATTCTATCTGGAATCATGTAAAACTCCCAGAACTCCTATCTCCACTTCCACAAAGGTATCAAAGGATGACACTGGTGCGTCAGTTGATAACACAGTCTATCAAAGCCTAATTGGAAGTCTGCTCTATTTGACAGCAAGTCGACCAGATATTATTTTCAGTGTTGGGATGTGTGCAAGATATCAATCTGATCCCAATGAGACACATTTGATAGCTGCTAAACGGATCTTGAAATACATCAAGGGCACAATTCAATATGGGTTATGGTATTCCAAGGACAGTGAAGTTAGCCTGAGTGCATATTGTGCTGATTGGGCAAGCAACATAGATGACAGAAAAAGTACATCAGGTGGATGCTTCTTTGTTGGAAAGAATTTAGTCTCATGGCTAAGCAAGAAGCAGAATTCAATCTCTCTAAGAACTGCAGAGGCAGAATATATAGCAACTCGAGGATGTTGCACTCAGTTGGTCTGGATGAAGCAAATACTGCTAGACTATGGTCTCACACAAAGGACTATGACACTCTACTGTGACAATGTCAGTGCAATAAACATTTCAAAGAATCCAGTTTAACACTCTAGAACGAAGCGTATTGATATAAGACATCACTATATCAAAGACTTGGTAGAATCAGAGGAAATAGAATTGGAATATATTCAAACAGATAAGCAATTGGCTGACATACTGACTAAGCCTCTGGACGCAAATCGGTTTGAGATTCTCAAATCTGCTCTGGGAATCTGCAGGATTGATCTATAGGGCAAAATGATAACACAGAAGGAGAGTGTATGGTAATCTCTATCACGGGTCAAAATTCCATATTTGACTTCCTTTTTAATCTCCCTTCTGCTTATGTTAAGATTATTTCTTAACCTTGGTTACCAAAATTAATTCGCCTCTTTCAAAATTCAAAACTGTTGCGTCAATCACATCAGCTGCATGCAGTCTGACAATCGCATTAAATTGTGTTCATCACCCTTGGGATTATGTATTTGATCGAGTCTCATTCTTTTGAGGGAAGAGTTCAAAATTCTACTTTGCTCTCTGTTGTTGGCTTACTGATTTCACACCTAGGGTTTCTCTCCTCTCTTTCCCAAATCGCACGACAATGGCGGATGCTGTGAGAAATATTATCATTAAGCTGGGAAGGAAAGTCCATTCACCAGAAACAGCCACGAAGCATGTCAAAACTCTTCTCCAACTTGCTATGAAAAAGAAGTTGAAGCTTGACCCTGTTCTCCATGACGAAATCGTGGTCACAGTGCTCTCAGATTATCTGGAGTTCTATGAGGATTGGTCCGACGATGATACAAGTGACCTCTTGATGTTGGCATCCGAAGCGAGTGATGATGTTAGCCCTGCTTCCATTCCTGAGCCTGACGATGGAAACCGTGCTGGGGCTTTCCTCCAATATTTCGCCCAGAGGGCTCTGGAATCTGAAGAAGTCTCGCGTTGACGGATAGCAGCTCAACCTCTCTATCTTCAAGCTGCACAGGAAGAAGCCAAACACTGTCTTGAAATTCTTCGTAACAGGTCTAATACTTCTGAAACCCCTATTGAGATATCACTTGATAAGCCCGATGATTTAATTTCTGATGATATTGAATCTGCTCTGCCTGTTGCACAATCCGATAATGAGAATGCGTTACTGTCTGTGAAATCCTCTATGTCTGATGATCCTCTTCCTGTATCTTCTGAAAATTTTGAGTCTACAAAAGTTGTCCTTAACAGTGATTCTGATGATAAGATCGAAAATTTGAGTCTAGTTGTGTACTCTATTGATATTGCACGATCTGCAATTCCTGTTGTGCCCGTATCTGATGCTGCTAAGTCACCGGTTGAGGTTTGCCCAGTTGATGTTTCTCCTAAGGTGTCGACTGAAATTGAGGTTGCCAGACTCTCAAGCCCTCGTCCCTCTGATCAAATTGATGTAGTTCCAGTTTATACTTCATCCTCTTTGGCTGAGAGCCTTGACCACATCCGTCACTTTGCCGGTTTACCATCTGCTTATGTACCGGAACCTTATAGAGTCATTCACACTGATGATCCCTCTGTGCAGATTGACAGTGATGATGAGAAAATACTAGCTGAAATTTATAGTCCTCAAGCCCAGTTGTCTAGACCTCTTACAGTGGAAGCAATAGCTCATCCAGACTCAACTACTTTCAAAATTCGATAAGTCTCCAAACTTCTTGGCTCTTCGTCTGCTCCTGTGTCAGAAACAAGCCACTCGGTTTCACCAAGCCCAACCGATCATTCTCCATCTAGAGAGACAAGAAAATCGAAACGCAAAGGGTCCCTGAGAGAGTAGCCATTGAAACCGGTGATGATAATCTTGATACGGTTCAACCTGAGAAAAGAAGACGATCTGCTAAATCCGTCAAGGCTGAAAGTGATCCACCTGTTCAACAGGTGTTCAAACTCTGAGATCGTCTATCAAGAACAAGGCACCTGCTACGGTTTCCACCACTTCTACCAGAAAGATGAAACCTACTACAAGGTCGAGAGGAAGTAGTGTTACTCCTAATGTCCAAGTTGCTTCGGACAATCCTGACACAACGATTTACAAACCTCAGTTTGTTTCTTCTACAGCTCAAGGAAAATGGTGTACGATGGTTCGACGGGAGCTTATAGTTCAGCCATCGGTTGATGAGAATCAGTTGAATTCTGTCTATGGCATTTTGCCCTTGCTCAGTGAAGTTGGCCTCATGAAGACTGTCACCTCCATTTGCCCTTACTCAAAGCTGCTGACCTACGAGTTCTACTGCAATCTGAATGAAGAAATTGGCAATCTTACGGGGACCCGGTGTATGTAGATTTTCATCAGGGGAAAATGCTATGTTTTCAGTCCGGATGTGATTAATGAGTACTATGGTTTGAAGGCTGTTGATGAGGAAGAGATTACGGATTGGGATTTAGTTGCAAGGACCCTCACCGGTGGTCAGACTCCTGTATGGCCTACAGGTGATGTTGATACTCTATTTAGCTCGAAGCTCACCTCCAAATATGTTATTCTGCACCGTATTGCCTTACACAATTGGCTACCTTCTGCTCATTTTCATACGGTTGGCAAGCAACTGGCTGCTCTACTGTTTCGAATTGGCACCAAAATGACCATTGATCTGGGGAAGTGGATCTTCTATCATTTTCTCACTTTGATTCATCCGAGGGAACAGAAGGTAAGATTGTCATATCCTAATCTCATTTTTGGAGTTCTGACGACGCAGGGCCTAGTCCCAATGCCAAGCGAGATTATCTGTCCAACTCTGCTCTATACTGTTGATCCACGCCTCTTGACTGGCAAGCACATCCGAGATGTTACACCTGTAGCTGCGCCTCCATCGTCTGATGCTGACACTCCTGTTGATGATTCGCCGCATGCGAAGGATATCCAACTATCCCTTCGTCTGAAGGCTCGGGTGTCTGAGCTTGAAACTGTTAATGGCATCATTGCGAAGCAACTCACTGCAGCCCGTACCGAACTTGCGACTATTCTGCTTCGTCTGAGCTTGACTGAGTCTGCTGCTGCTGAGAACGTGAAGTCCGACAGTGATGAGCCCTCTAATGCCTGAATCGTTCTTTGTCTATCTTTGGCAAAAAGGGGGAGTGACTAAACTCAGGGGGAGTTTTTTTTTTGTGTTACTGTACCTTCTGGCCCTGTCTGGGCGTGTGTTCGTGATGGCCTCATGATCTACGAAGAATGCTACTATGTTTTTGTTCAGCACGACTTGTGTGCTGTTATTCCTTTAATGGTTGTATTTCAGACTTATGTTATTTAAGCGACTGTTATCTTCCTTTTTCTACCTAGTTTATTGGTTTATCTTAGTCGAGTTGTTTTGCCAAATAATAGCCAAAGGGGGAGTTTGTTAGTGTTTTGTTTTTCTCCATAAAACCACAACATATAATTGGCAATATTATTATGGAAAACTATGATAGGGTTTAGCTTGGTGTCTGCTTGCTTTTACAGAAGAGATTGATCAGATACATCAACAGACGCACTGACACTGAAGATCTGATAAAGGAAGAAGTTTCCAAAATACTAAACGCGGTTTGAGAAGACTATTTTGGAAAGAAAATTAGCGGATCTGTTTTGGATGATATGGACCGAATCATTAAGATTGCATTCTTCACAAATCGTCCTACCATCTACAATCAAAGATATTTTTGGAGAGTGTTCTTTCTAAGGAAGTATAAGTACCCTCATTCGGTCATGGATTAGGGTTACGTTTTAAGAAGACAAAAAGCACTCCTTGCTATACAGAGGATCACATCTTTGATTATGCCCCTTCTCAAGAATATATGTTCTTGGTGATTAAGATGAAGAACTTGAGAAGAACTATCATTGCTTAAACGAAAGGACGCGAAGATCACTCAGTTGTGGGAACAACGTGGGACTGCGTCATTGAAGCGGACTGCATCAGAGTTAGCTCTCCAATCGAAGGGATTTCGTTGGACTTCTGCATGCGTGGCTCTCCGCCTTCAACAATCCACTAAACCTTTGTAGACTGGGTATGTACCTTGTGTGGGACACTTGGGTGAGATTCTTGTTTCTCTACCTTTGTACATTGGATTATGAGTTAGTGGATTGAACGCCTCGGTGATCGTCCCCCAGATGTAGATACACACTGTATCGAACTGGGTAAACATCGTCTGTGTTGTTTTATTATCTGTTTTAGTTTTTCCTCGACAAACTAATCTGCTATCTATCTATCTGACTGACAACCCACGTCGTCACAACAGTCAGTCTTCTACAACAGTGCTTATTGCTAATAATCATCTTAATCTGGGAAAATACAAAATTGAGTTCTACTACACGTACGGCCAAATCTTACCTTACTCCCTCAATTTTATTCCTTCATGGGCGGACTCTGATAAGCTATTTTTTTATGTGGGTCTCAATACAAGTGTCTATATTAAGATTTTGTGTGTGAAAATACAAGTTGAAAGTATAAAGTGGGAGTACAAATAGTATTTTCCATACATGTTATATGATACTTACAACTATAAAATCACCCATTTCTAATTAATTGCTAAGCGTAAAGAATTGAAATTTTCTAGCAATGACTTGTTGGAGATGGATGTTGACGGGTGCATTAATGTATTGTTATTATATATACAGTTATACTTTGAAGAAATACTTTTATATAGTATTAAGACAACATATTTTCCATGGTTGGTAAATCAAGATTCAAGAGTTATTAGGGAATAAAAAGTAACCAAAGTTATTCAAACTTAATGGCAACATCAATTCAATAGGAAAATCAGCTTTTAACTGTTACAAGACTTATCTCAAACCCTATAAATACTCCACTACTTCTCCTCTCTCCACACAAGTGAAATAGTCAATTGTATGCCTTGTTTGAATTGTTTCCATTGCATCCTCCTCTATAGTATTTTACTTTCATTTTTTTTTTCTGTTAAGAAAATTGAAGGTTTTTAGCCATGGCAAAGAGGCCTAGCATGGGAAGACAGAAGATCAAGATTGAGAAAATAGAGATGAAGAATCACCTTCAAGTCACCTTCTCCAAACGGCGTTCTGGGCTTTTCAAGAAAGCCAGCGAGCTGTGCATCCTGTGCGGAGTGGAGGTGGCGATCATTGTGTTTTCGCCAGCCGGAAAAGTCTTCTCCTTCGGCCACCCAAACGTGGAGCTGATCATCGACCGCTTCCTTTCCCTGAACCAGCACCCTTTGACGTCGTCCAACAACGCCACCTTCCAACTGGTGGAGGCCCACCGCAGCGCCACCGTCCGCGAGATGAATCTCCAGCTGACCCAGATTATGGCGGAGTCGGAGATTGAGAGGAAGAGAGGAGAGGCGCTTGATGAGATGAGGAAGGAGAGCCGGAGGCAGCACTGGTGGGAAGCTCCGGTTTTCGAGCTTGGGCTGCCGGAGCTCCAGCAGCTGAGAGACGCCATGGAAGAGCTGAAGAAGAATGTTACTGCCCAGGCGGAGAAGATCAATACTTGTACGCTTTTGTCTATGGACGGGAAGATAACAGGCTATCCGGGGACAAAACCGCCGAGGATTATGGTTAACTATACGCATCATCATCATCAGGCACTACATGACTTTGGATATGATCTTACATTTTCCTGAGCTACTGGATGGACTGGTTTCATCGGTCGATGACATTGTGTACGTGTTATTATTGACCGTTACGTTGGATCAAATTTGTTCTTCTTTTATTGATGAGACGGAATAAGTTTATACCTATCTATTTATCTACAATCTATCTACAATTTTAATAAGAGCCAATATTGTTAGGCCCTGGAACATAAAAATTGTCGGTACTATTGTTTCTTAAAATGAATGGTTTATATTATTTTGATTTTAGTATTTTTTTTAATGATTTTCCTTATTTATCATCTATTATATTATTTTCTTCCCTTAAATAACTTAAATTCCGTCAATATAAACTTTAATAACGGAATATTCCGTTAACTATTTATTATATATTATTTTTAACTTACTCATTAATTTCTAAAAGAAAGATCTTAGGTTCGAACCCCATCACAGTTATAGTTGGAATAATTGTTAAACATATACTATATAATATAAAATTTAAATAAATTTTGGTCAAATAATTAGTCCGACTAAATACATAAAATTCAAAGTTAAGCATCAAATATTATAAATCAAAAACTTTAAAAATTATTTGATTTTTATGCATTTGATTTTTAGGTTAAGTTTTTTTTTTTCGTTTAATTATTTTTCTTTTGATTATTTAGATCAGAACAAAACTTAATATTTCAATTTTATTTTTACATTATTGGTATGATTTATGTCGTTATGGTATTAATATTTTTTGTAAGTATTTTTATAATGGTACTATTGTACATTACTTTACAAATATTATATTTTTTTTTATCAGACAAAATTGTTCTTATATATATCATTGTCAGACCTGGGCAAGCTAACTACAAATTTCTTTATCATAAATACAAATTACACTTGGATCCTAAAACGGTAGGACCATTTTTCAAAGAATTGACAATGTTGACATCCACTGGCTCCAATTGAACAAGTTTACACATCAGAATTTTATCAATGCATGAAAACTTGAAAAGAAATTTGTAAGTTAATTCTTACTATATCATTATAACAATATATATTGTAACTATATATTTTGAATTATTTATTATCATCCTCTATTGACAATAATTGTAACAATTGTAATTGATAAACTCTCAAAACAATTTGTCTCAACAACGAATGTAAATTAAAAAAAAAATCAATGATTTCATTATTTTTGATGAAAAGTATGCGTGCCAATTTATTACCCTTATTAAATTAAATAAATTAGTAGCTACAACAAAAAATAATACATATGCATTTAATTAATTTAGAATTAGATGTCTATAATGCCTTTATTTAAAAAATTATTCATTATAAAAAATTTAAACAGAGATATAATTTCATTAGTTATATTATTTTTATTTTCTATAATTCAGAGATTAATTACCTTCAAATTTATTAATTCATTATTATATTCACTATATTGTCCATTGTCTTCTTTTTACATTATATTATAATTAAATATCAAAGTTATAATACAAAATATGTTTTATATATATATATATATATATATATATATATATATATATATATATTTACCAAGTATTTTATACAAATATAATAAATATTAATATTTTATTCAATACATTCACATGATAACCTACGACATCTCACTGAAACATGTAGGGAAAAACTACACTACCAAATATCAATAGGTGCTTGTAAGATAAAGAGTTAATAGTACAACTAAGATCTCATCATATACACAACGGCAAATTATGATGTGCAACCGTGTGCACCATGCATGGTGCACACAGTTGTAAAAATGACGTCGTTTTACTTTTTAAAAAAATCATTTTCGATTGCCGTTAGTTACGTAAACATATGTTCATGATTTTATAATTTCACATTCTGAATGTATAGTTATGAAGTTATGGATGTGTAGTTATGCAATTCTGAATGTATAGTTATGAAGTTATGGATGTATAGTTCAAATTATGCACAACATAACGTCGTTAACAGCAATCAAAACTGATTTTTTTATTTTTTAAGTTGGACGTCAAAACGACGTCGTTTTTGCAACCGTGTGCACCATGCATGGTGCCACGGTTGCATAGCATAACGCTCGATACACAACAAGGCAAATCTAAAGCTTCATATATATCATATATAATCTCATTGCACGACGAATCCATCTATGCTACCACCAGTAACTCAATTGCACATGACACACCAATCGTTATACCTTACACCACGGCGCGCGTAGCACTGTGCGCCGCGCGCCTCCCAAAACGACGTCGTTTTGGGAGGCGCGGTAGGAAGTTGCTGTGATTATGTATATTTGTTCATACAATTATGTATATTTGTTCATACAATTATGTACATTTTTTATACAATTATGTGCATTCTTTTTATACAATTATGTACATCCGAATCAGGAAATTATATTTTTGTGTACTATGTTAAGAGTTGATGTGTATTATGTTAAAAGTTTATGTTTATTATGTATTATGTTAGATTATGTGTATTATCATTTAAAAAAGAGTATGTATATTTT